AAGATTCACAGCCTTCAACTAGGAAAGGCAGAGCCATTTAAAAGGTCTCATTGAGTAGAAATCTGGAAAACCACATGTTAAAGTAGAAAGTATTTTATCATTTGAGTCTGAATGTTTTCTTCTCATTATTGCGCCCTTAGTCATTTTATAGAGTTAAGGTTCTCAGGGACTAGACTGTTGTCGTCTAACAGTTCTTGAAAGAACTCCAGACAACGTAATCATCTGCCCACTTGACATCTCCACTTGGGTATAGAACAGTGATCTCAAACTTATCATGTCTAACATTAAACTGCTGAGATTTGCCCCCAAACCAGCTTTTCCCACATTCTCCATAAATGGCAATGCTAGCCTTCCAGTCGCTCAAACCAAAAACCTTGATGTCATCCTTGACACATCTCTTTCTTTTGTTCCCTTTCTGATTCATCAGCAAACCTGGTTGGTCTAGCCTCAAAATGTATTTCTAAATTCTGACTACTTTTCACCATACCCATTGTCACCTCCCTTTTCTAATTTGCTGTTATCCCGTGACAGGCTTATTGAATAGCGCCTTCCTTCTCACAGTCCCTGCACTTGATTTCTGAAGCCCGTTGCAAACCCAGTAGCCAGAGTGATCTTGTTGAAAAGGCAGACCACACCGCTCCTCTGCTCATTAAAATCGTCAGTGTGACAGGGCATGGTAGCTCACATCTGTAATCCCAGTACTTTGGGAGGCCACGGCAGGAGAATTGCTTGAGCCCAAGAGTTCGAGACAGTCTGGGCAACATAGTGAGACCTTGTCTCTACAAAAAACAAAACAAAACAACAACAAAAATTAGCTGGGTGTGATGGCACATGCATGTAGTCCCAGCTACTCAGGAGGCCGAGGTGGGAGAATCGCTTGAGCCCAGCAGGTTGAGGCTCTAATGGGCCGAGATCACACCATTGCACTCCAGTCTGGGCAACAGAGTGAGACCCTGTCTCAGAAAAAAACAAAAAACAAAAACAAACCTCTTCAATAGGCTGTCTCATTTAAAGTAAAACCAAAGTCCTCCTTTGACCTGAAGGACCCCATGTGAACAGGACACCCTACCTCTTGTAGCTCTTACCACCCTTGAGTTTGCTATCTTTTCGTGAATACACAGGCATTTTCCTGTCTTAGGGCTTTGCACTATAGTGCAGTTTGCCTGAATGCTCTTCCCCTGTATCTGTATGGCTGGTTTCCTAAATTCTTTCAGGTGTCTTTACTCAAAAGTCACCTTGTTGGCCGGGTGCCATGGCTAACTCCTGTAATCCCAGCACTTTGGGAGGCCGAGGTAGGTGGATCACCTGAGGTCAGGAGTTTGAGACCAGCCTGGCCAACAAGATGAAACCCCCGTCTCTACTAAGAATACAAAAATTAGCTGGGCATTGTGGCACACGCCTGTAGTCTCAGCTACTTGGGAGGTTGAGGAAGGAAAATCACTTGAACTGGGAGGTGGAGGTTGCAGTGAGCTGAGATCGTGCCGCTGTACTCCAGCCTGGGCCACAGAGTGAGACTCCATCTCAAAAAAACAAAACAAAACAAAAAGTCACCAGTTACCTTGTCAAGGAGTTTTTCTCTGGCCACTCCAAAAAGTAGCCCCTCCTAACATTTCACATCCCCCTTCCCTTTCTTTTCTTCTTTGCATTTACCCCTCTGTAATCTGATATCATGTGTTTAATTGCTTACTTTGTTTCCCCTATTAGAACATGAGCTTTATGAAGGGAAGAGATGAAGGGATTTTTGTTTGCTTTGTTCACTATTTTATCTCTAGTGCCTTGAATGGTACCTGACACGTGGTAGACACATGTATAAATATTTGGTGAATAAACGAATGAGTAGAATAAAAAAAGAAGGACTCCAAATTAGCGCGGACCTTTTAGCAAGTCACTTATCCTCTCTACACTTCAGTTTCTTTGAATGTGAAATTGAGTTTTGCATTAAGACAGCTCCCAGTTTCCCTCCAGCTATGTGCAGACATCTGTGAGTTAACTTGAAAAGCTGGGACCTTGAAAAGGGTCTGAAGATTTGGGTTCAAGCACCAGTAACATCACTTGCCTGAGTCTGTTTCCACACAAACAAATTGAAAGGGCTCCACCCAGCGACCACGAAGGTTAGTCTAGCTCTTAAACTAAAAAAAGCATAATTTAAAAAGGCGCCATACCCCTCAATACCACACGGCGGCGCAATGGTCCACCTTTGTCTCTAAGAGGGCAATGCTGTGCCAAGACCTTTACGAAACAGCCCCCACTACCGTGCAATGTATTATTCAGACAACTGTGACGGTTGCTCATTCCTCAGATCTTATTGGTTTGTTCAAATAACAAAAATATTTAAATTGTTACTGTTTTAGATAAGAAGGCACAAATCTCAAAACCAGAACAGAGAGCTTACGTTTGAGCTCAGTCTTGCCAACGTGATTTAAAGACCAAGGTTTGCCGGGCACTGTGGCTCACGCCTGTAATCCCAGTACTTTGGGAGGCTGAGGTGGGCAGATCACCTGAGGTCAAGAGTTCGAGACCAGCCTGGCCAACATGGTGAAACCCCGTCTCTACTAAAAATAGAAAAATTAGCTGGGCGTGGTGGAGGGCGCCTGTAATCCCAGCTACTTGGGAGGCTGAGGCAGGAGAATCGCTGAAACCTGGGAGGCGGAGGTTGCAGTGAGCCAAAATGGTGCCACTGCGCTCCAGCCTGGATGACAGTGTGAGCCTCCGTCTCAATACATACATACCTACATACATACATACATACATACATACCAAAACATTTGAAAAACTAAAGAAGTCTAAATCCGTGTCAGGTGAGGGGTGCCACAGCCATGCTAACTTAGTCCACATATCTGTCTGCACATAACTAAGAATTTCTCTCCATAAGGTAGGAGGGATGGGGAATAAAGAGACTGTTTGGATTCCAAGACTTTTGTTTGCTTGGAAGAAGCCGTTAAAGCCTCTAGCAAATAAACGACTGTGAACCTAAGTAAGCCCTTAACAGAAGTCATTGTCATTATTGTTACTTATTAATAGTATCATCCTCAGCTTCTGTTTTCCTTCCTCCACCATCTCTCCAACTAACAATAAAGGTTTTAGTTTGAATTTTGTATTTAAAAAGATAAAAGTGATTTTGTAGTTCTTTATTACAATTACACAAATATCACATGGTTATTTTTGTTGTAGGAAAAATAAAGAAAAGTAAAATGAAGTTTGGAAACGTGTACGGTAATGATGTGGAAATCATAGTTGGGCCATCTGTCCCTGCCCCAATCTCTTGTTGAATTGTAATCCCCAACACAGGAGGTGGGGCCTGGTGGGACGCAATTGGATCATGGGGGCGGATTTTTCATGAATGGTTTAGCACCATCCCCTTGGTGCTGTCTTCAGGATAATGAGTTCTCATGAGATCTGATTGTTTAAAAGTGTGTGGCACCTCCCCTATCAACTCTCTCTTGTTCCTGCTTTCGCCATGTGACGTGCCTGCTCCTCGTTGCTTTCTGCCAGGATTGGAAGCTTCCCGAGGCCTCCCTAAAATCAGATGCTGCTATGCTTCCTGTAAAACCTGTAGAATCGTGAGCCAATTAAACCTCTTTCCTTTATAAATTACCTTTTCTCAGGTATTTCTTTTTTTTTTTCTTTTTGAGACAGTATCTTGGTCTGTTACCCAGGCTATTTCGGCTCACTGCAACCTCTGCCTCCCGGGTTCAAACGATTCTCCTGCCTCAGCCTCCCCAGTAGCTGGGACTACAGGCACGCACTACCTCACCTGACTAATTTTTGTATTTTTAGTAGAGACAGGGTTTCACCATGTTGGCCAGGCTGGTCTCGAACTCCTGAACTCATGTGATCCACCCAAAGTGCCAGGATTATAGGCATGAGCCACCTATAATCTGGCCAGGTATTTCTTCATAGCAATGCAAGAACAACCTGACACAGAAGGCAGTAAAAATGAACCATGCTCCACCACTTAGCTCAGAAATAGCTGTTAAGATTTTTATATTATCCACCCAACACATTTGTAATTATATTTTATAAGGATTTTTTTTACTACTCTTTATCATTATACTGTACACATTTCTACATCATTAAAATTTTTCATAATTATCAACAATAAAATACTGTTTTTTTAATAACCTGTTTAAAATTGACAAAAAGTGTATATATTTATAGCATACAACATGATGTTTTGACATATGTATACACTGTGGAGTGGTGAAACCAAGCTAATTACCAGATGCTTTGCCTCATATACTTATTGTTTTGTGTGGTAAGAACACTTAAAATCTACTATCTTAGCAATTTTACAGTATAAAATATATTGTTATTAACTATATTCACCACGGTGTATAATAGATCTCTTGAACTTATTCCTTTTTTCTAACTGGTAATTCCTTTTTTCTAACTGGTAACCATGATTTCCTCTCTTTTTCTATGAGTTCAATTTTTTTTTTTTTTTTTTGAGATGGAGTCTCGCTCTGTCGCCCAGGCTGGAGTGCAGTGGCGCGGTCTCGGCTCACTGCAAGCTCCACTTCCCGGGTTCACACCATTCTCCTGCCTCAGCCTCCGAGTAGCTGGGATTACAGGTGCCCGCCACCATGCCTGGCTAATTTTTTTGTATTTTTAGTAGAGAAGGGGTTTCACCGTGTTAGCCAGGATGGTCTCAATCTCCTGACCTCGTGATCTGCCCGCCCCGGCCTCCCAAAGTGCTGGGATTACAGGTGTGAGCCACTGCACCCGGCCGAGTTCAACTTTTTTAGATTCCACAAGATCTATTCCATAAGAGAGTGAGAGTTCATGTGATATTTGTCCTTCTCTGTCTAACATACTATTCTAATTGAAAATCAGAATATTTTAATGGTAGAAAATGCTAAATAGTACAGGACAAAGAAAAAAAAATCACTCCTAATCTCATAATCTAGATTGGTGATAATTGCTGTTCACCTTTTGATATATTTCTTTCAATAATATTAATGCATATATATTTTTTCATAAGATTAGGAATATATTACATATATAGTTCTCTTAATTTTTCCAATTTATTTAAAAATTATTTGAAAATTATAACAGATTTCTTTTTTTTCTACTTAACAAGATTATTTTCCCAGTCATTTCATGTTCTTCAAAAACGCCAATGATAGGAAAAATTTTCTCTTTCCTGAAATCTCTCTTCTTGTGATTAGAGCTGTTTGAGGTCCTGGACGGAAAGGCTTGGATGAAGTCCTTGCAGACTCAGCATGGTTGTAAGCAGTATAATTTCAGAGGGATGTCCCATGGGCTCACTCTGCAACCGGGCTGGATGAAGCAGAAATGATTTGACCTTCATGCCTTAATTAAAGGCTCTGATCACTGTTAAAATGCAACTTGCTCTCCAGAGATGCAACATTCTAAACAGCCCCCCATAGTTTATTGCTTTTCTGAACTGAGGTTTTCCTAGGAGAAAGAAGAAAAGAGGAAAGATTTCTTACCTTTTTAGTGGTTCAAGCTGCATTAACTCATAATTCCTCAGAGAAGCATTAAATACTATCAATTGTAATAACATTTACAATTTATTAAGCACTTATTATTATGTATTAAGCACTGCCAGGAGGACCTCTTACTTCATCTAACCCTCACAGCAACCCCATTTTACACAATCTCATGTTACCAACAATGAAACAGAGGCTCCGAGAGGTGAAAGGCCTCCCACACTCATGACAAGCTGATCAAGAATTCAAACCCGGGTCTGACTCCAAAGGTCTGTTCCATCAGCCCTGCCACACATCTGCCCAAACCATTTGCTTAAAATCATGTTTAATGCAAATAGAGTTTATGAATCAGAAACTAGGGCTTCTTTCCTGAAATGGTATAACATGAGAGGTGAAAGTGGTGGGCTGGCTTTTTTAGAAAAGGTAAAAAGGGCCAGGCACAGTGGCTCAAACCTGTAATCCCAGCATTTGAAGCGATGGAGGCAGGAGGATCCCTTGAGGCGAGGCCAAGAGTTTGAAGCCAGCCTGGGCAACACAGTGAGTCCTTATCTCTACCAAAAATTAACAAAATTAGCCAGGCATGGTGGCATGCACCCGCAGACCCAGCTACTCAGGATGCTGAGGCAGGAGGACCCACTGAGTCCAGGAGTCTGAGGCTGCCATGTGATCAGCCAGCTACGATCGTGCCACTGCTCTCCAGCCCGGGTGACACAGTGAGACCTTGTTTCTCAAAAACAAACAAACAAACAAACAAAAAAACAAAGGTAAAAGTCTGCTTGAGGAATTTTTTTTTTTTTTTTTTGCATCAAAGTACTAATTTTAAATATTTCCCAAAAGAATCAAGGAAAGGGTGACATTCATTAACTAAGTCACAGTTTAGGCTCAAATAATAACAGTAACTACATGCTAGATTATGTGTTAAGCACATAACATATATAAGATAGGTACAATTATTCTTAATTTCCAGGTGAGGGATCTGGGGCACAGCAGGGTTAACTTGCCTAATGGCATGCAGTAAGCATAGATTCAAATTCAGTCAGAAGCCAAGACCCCAAATTCTTCATTAGTCTGTGAAACCTGCCCTCCTTTCCTGCCTTCTTTCTTCCCTTCCCTCCTTTGCTTCCTTCCTTTTCTCCCCTCCCTGCTTCCTTCCTGTTTATCTCTTTTTTGTCCTTTCTTTCATTCCCCTCCTGTCTTCCCTCCTTCCTTCACGCCTTCCTCTTCTCTCCTATCTGTTCTTTTTTTTTTGAGACAGGGTCTCGCTTTGTCACCCAGGTTGGAGTGCAGTGGAGCAATCTCGGCTCACCACAGCCTCAACATCTCTGCTCAAGCGATCCTCCCATCTCAGCCTCCCAAAAGCTAGGACCACAGGCACCACCATGCCTGGCTAACTTTTCTATTTTGTAGAGATGGGGTTTCACCATGTTGCCCAGGCTGATCTTGAACTCCTCAGCTCAAGTGATCCACCCACCTCGGCCTCCCAGAGGCCTCTGTTCCTTTTTCCTTCCTTCCTTCTGTCTCTTTCCTTTAGGGAAAACCCTGGGTTCAACTTCCAATCAAGAGGCCTGGGTGTAATTAAAGAGTGTTTCTGGAGGGTAATAGGTAGGTGAAAGAAGGAAAAAAAATATGTTGACTATTTGTTGGGTGTGAGCAGCATGCTAAGAGCTTCTGCATGGCCTGTCTCATTTAATCCTATAAACATCCATTATAACCAGAGATTATTATTACACCTACTTAAAAATGAGGAAACTGAGGTTCAAACAGGTGTCTTGCCCAAAGTCACAGCATTTTTAAAGGACAAAGCCAGGATAAACTATGATCTATTGACTTAAGTCTAATGTCAACTTGCATCACTGATGGCTATTTTCTCCCTGCCTTATGCTATGCTTTTCAGCATGGTAGAGAAAATGTTTCTTTTTGGGGGTGACATCTGCCAACCTCCTCCTCAAAAACTTCCTCGTGGTAAAATCTTGGTAATTCCACCTCATTTTCAAAATCTTTTACAATCTGCCCTTCTTTTATTTCAGCAGTTTTATTTCCCATCACTCCCTTTTCACATTCTCTCCTCTTCTCTGGCTGAAATTTCTGTTATTGCTACTCACTATATTAATTTCTATTTCCACATCTTTTATTCTCTAATAATCAAATTGTATATATCTTTCAATGTCCAACTTAAGCATCTCCTTATCCATTCTAGTCCTCAGAGAAGGCAATATTTGATCACCCCACAGTCCTACTCAAAACCTTTCAGTGATAATCTTTTACACGCTGAACAAAACCAAGGCTTCTTCGCCTCGGATTCAAATCAGCCATCCAGTTGCAAATAAGTACTGAGACTCAATTATGTGCTAAGTACTCTCTAGGTGCTGGGAGAGCTGTGGAGAACCAGACAGACTGGTTCCTGCCCTTATGGTGAATGCACTAGACATTAAATAATTACAAATAATCAATTACATAATTACTAGTGTGAATCAAGTAATTACAGGGCCCTTTACAATCTGGTCTCAACCTATCTTTTCAGAGTTCTTTCTCATCCTTCTATTCCATCCAAATGGTCCCCCTCTCCATGCTTTCCTACCTCTGTGGCTGTGCCTATTCCCACCCTTCTTTCCTGAACACACTTTTCCCTGCTCCACCCCATTCCCCTCCAGGACCAGTTCTGCTTCTGCTTCTTCCATGCAACCCTGCCAGACAAGTTTAGTTTGAAAGATCTACCCTCATTTGAATTCCTAGCACTTATCCATTCAACAAATATTAACTGAATGACTTGTTGAAATGTTTGATGAATTACTCTTTATGAGATTCTAAATATACGCTGTGGTATTAAAGGTTTAAGTTGTGCAGGGTATTAGAGTTTTCCTATTGAGAAGGGCCAATGATTTTTCTCCTCTCTTTCCCTCTTTCCAGGGAGTGGAAGGAATCCACGAAACTAAATAATAGAACATACAAAATTATGAAGTAAAATGACAACGAAGTTACCCAATTACTCATAATCCGACTACTTAGAGACCCACCACTGACATTTTTCTCTTTTTAGTACTTTTTTTTCCTGTTTCTGTTTTGCTGTGTGTCTACAGTTTGTAAAACTCTTTTTCCCTCCAGTTAAAAAAAAAGATTTTTTTTTTGAGACAGGGTCTTGCTTTGTCACCTAGATTGGAGTGCGGTATAGCAAACACTACAGCCTTGACCTCCTAGGCTCAAGCAATCTTCTTGCCTCAGCCTCTCAAATAGCTGGGACTACAGGTTCGCACCACCATGCCTGGCAAATTTTAAAATTTTTTGTAGAGATAGGGGTCTCACCATGTTGCTCAGGCTGGTCTCCTTCCTGGGCTCAAGTGATCCTCCTGCCTCAGCCTCCCAAACTGCTGAGATTTCAGGTGCAAGCCACCATACCCAGCCCCAAGTTAAAATTTTATCAAGACAATTATTTTATGGCCTTTAAAAAAGCACAAAATACCTCTGCCCCCACTCCCTTGCTCTCTTCCGCTTGAGGGTGGAATGGTTTTGTCTAAAACAAAACTTAGAGAATTTACTCAGACTCATTCATATCTTTTCCAGTTCGTGGATTCTATGTATAAGAACCTGAGCATTGTTTTAGGGTCTTTACTTAAACAGAAATTCTTTCTCAAGACCTACTCTGGATGCTTTTTAGAACAAGCCTCATGTCTCTTCTTCAAGACCTTAAATGTGTGCTATATACAGTGTAGTCATATTGATGAGCAAACCACAGAATGTCCAAACTATGAGGACATATGATATCTTCCAGTTCACTCCCCTCACTTTAAGAGTACAGTGTTAGGACACCTGCCCAAAGTCATGTAGCTGCCTAGTTATCTTTCCAAATTGTCCCACTGTCTTTAGTTTGTGTAATAATAAACCCAAACTAAAATGCAACAAAAGCACTCACCCTTGCTAAATAAATAATGTCTATTCCTACCACTGAAGGGGAAAAGGTAACAAAGCTTGGTAGAGATTGGGCTAGATCTGCACTGGCTTATTTAGAAATTTCAGAGGACTAGGTGAGGTGGTTAAGGCCTGTAATCCTAGCACTTCAGGAGGCCGACGCAGGTGGATGACTTGAGCCCAGAGTTCGAGAAGGGCCTGGGTGACACAGTGAGATCTTCTCTCTACAAAAAAATAAACAAAATTAGCCAAGCGTGGTGGCACATGCCTGTACTCCCAGCTACTCGGGAGGGTGAGGTGGGTGGATTGCTTGATCCTGGGATATTGAGGCTGCACTGAGCCAAGATTGCGCCACTGCACTCCGGCCTGGGCAACAGAGACCCTGTCTAAAAAAAAAAAGACAGAAAGAAAGATCGGAGAACCTTTCTTACTGGAAGTCAACGTTGCCATGATAGGATTAAAGCAAGAAGAAACATTATGGGCCTCCTATCTCGTTCTTAATGTTCAAAATGCAGGGTATAGCAAAAGCATATAGGAAGAGGTCGTCCTGACTCATGAACTCAACATCGCTTTCTACGTTTATTTTGCTTTGGTTCTTCTTAATCTGACCTCTGTAGACTTCACCACGATCCAAGGTGTAATTCCAACAGGCAAAAGAAGCCTAAGGATTGTCGAACAGTTGGCTCCCTTCAGACAGACCAAGCTCAATTCATGGCAGCGTTCCTAGCCCCAGGTTGAAGCCCAGTAAGGTGGTCTCTTGCCTTTCTAAATTCTAAAAAAAGAGTGGTATTGGAATCTCTTCTTACCGAAACCCAGGAGAGGGCGAGCTGTGGTGCAGTCTTCCTAAAGGGGAGAACCGTAGTTTTCAGAGTTCTTCTAATGAACATCTCAATGGGCCTAAAAGGCTTCAATAGCAGATGAAAGGTTTCGGGGTGAGAGTGGGCGTGGGCGAAGCTGATCCCTTTAGGTTGGACTAAGGCAGAGCCAGATCCAAGAGGGAGAATCCAACTGTAAAATGATCTGGGGAAGAAAGAGCTCTGTTGGGGGTGCAGCCGGATAAAGAACACAGGTGCTGCTCAGTGCAGCCCCTACCCATCCATGGCAAACAAAGGCAGCGGCCTCCCTTCCAGCCTTTTAGTTTGAACGAAGGCTCAGTACTACCTTTTAGGATCCACTCTTCCCTCCTAACGCACCCAATGAGGCCAGCGCCTCTTCCTGCCGGGAGGAGCTGAACTCTCCCAGGAAACGGACAAGTGCCGCGGACCAATGGTGGGAGCTGCGGCGGGCCAGTGGGCGGGAGGAGTGGGTCCACCTGGGTTTGAGAACCAGAGAGCCCACAAAGGGGGAGGGCACGATGCGACGGCGGCGCAGTGGGTAAGAGGAACCTGCGAGGCTGCCAGCTAGGCTACGCCAACTACGGCGGAGGAACCGGGGACTGGGCGGCCGCAGCCAATGGGAAGGCGGCGGGCGCGGGGCGGGGCGGGCGTGGGGCGGGGCCCCCTCGGGTCCGCAGGGCTGGGGCGGAGCCAGGCCCGTGTCAGGTGGTCCGGGCGAGCGGGCGGTGCGGGGGGCGGGGCACGGCACGGCGCGGAGGGGAGAGCTGCGGCCGGCGGGCGGCGGCGGCGGCACCGGCTGCGCGAGCAGGTACCGGCGGCGGAGGTGACGAGGCCGCCCCCGGGGGGCGAGCGGGCAGGCGGGGACTTGGCCCGCTGCGCCCCTAGGCTGCGCGGAGCGCTCGCGCGCGGCGCTCTTCTAGTACCGCGGCAACAGCGCCGGCGAGCCGGCTTTCCCAGCCCCGCCAGCCCGGGCCCTACCTGCGGCCGCCGTCGTGGGGGGGGGGGTCCTCCCAGCTCTGCGGAGGCGCATGAACAATAGGCGGCGGCGGCTCCTGCGGGCAGCGGCGGCCCCGCACCCTATGGATCGGCCGCTCCATGGAGCCCTCCAGAGCGCTTCTCGGCTGCCTAGCGAGCGCCGCCGCTGCCGCCCCGCCGGGGGAGGATGGAGCCGGGGCCGGGGCCGAGGAGGAGGAGGAGGAGGAGGAGGAGGCGGCGGCGGCGGCGGCGGCGGGCCCCGGGGAGCTGGGCTGCGACGCGCCGCTGCCCTACTGGACGGCCGTGTTCGAGTACGAGGCGGCGGGCGAGGACGAGCTGACTCTGCGGCTGGGCGACGTGGTGGAGGTGCTGTCCAAGGACTCGCAGGTGTCCGGCGACGAGGGCTGGTGGACAGGGCAGCTGAACCAGCGGGTGGGCATCTTCCCCAGCAACTACGTGACCCCGCGTAGCGCCTTCTCCAGCCGCTGCCAGCCCGGCGGCGAGGACCCCAGCTGCTACCCGCCCATTCAGTGTAAGGCGAAGGCGGGGCCCGGGAGCCGGGCGGGGAAGGGGAATGACAGAGGCCTGGGGGGCGGTCGGGGAACGGGGGAGCCCTGCGCGAGGGCCAGGATGAAGGCGGGGGAATGGGGAGGAAGATCGACCTGGGTGTGGGTGGCGCGCGCTTGGGCTGCCCGGGCTTCGCTTGGTGCGCTGGATAAGCTCGAGACGCCGCAGGCCCTGCCCGCACTTCAGGCACTTGAGCTTCTTCACCTTCATTTGGCCACCTCAGCAGTGGCTCCCGAATTCCTTATCCTGAAGTCCCAGCCTGAGACTTTGCCCGTTTCCCACTCCCTTCCTCTCTTACCGCGCCCACTCCCCAGCCCCCATTCCCAATCTGGAAGTGTTTAGGGCAAGCTGGTGGTTAGTGTCCAAGCCTTAGTCCCCAAATCAGGGACCTTGCCACCACCTCTTCTAACGCCTGTCCCCGCCTCTTAAAAGCATTTGCTTTCAAAGAGATGGGGTGTCTCCTCAGGGCTGGGCTGGCTCACAAGTCCCGGAAGCATGTGTGAACTCAAGGCTCAAGTGCCTGTAAAATGTCGGGTTGATTTCTTGGATCCTAATCCTTATATCTCAGAAGTTGTACCTTTAGGAGTCTCAGTGATTAACGTGTGTGTTGGGAGTGGGAGTGGGACAAGTGATGATTAGAGAGGAAAAAGTATGTCGTTGCCCCATGGGAGATCAGGATTGCAAGGTACAGTGGCTGAATCCCAGCCCTTTGACAGTGAGGCTGTTTGGGAAATGCATTTTCTTCTTTCTTCTCACCCTAGATCCTTGCCTATATTTGGAACTGGTCAAATCTCACGGGGACCATGCTCAGGGGTCCCTCCCAGGGCCTTTCTCCCAGTGTCCTGGTTTCCGTCAATTTTCCAGGAGCCCCATATTTCATACCCTATAATGAAATCTTCTTTGTTTTTTTCAAGGGAGTTAAATTGCCATCAGAATCCCTTAATCATATTAGTTTGTTTCAGAAAAAACACTTAAATATCTCTTTAGTGCAGTTTACACTATTTTTGTATTTGAGAGTTTCCATAATTTCTTATCTGTTAAAAAGGTATTGTTAATATGTATTAATTACTGTTTATTCCTTATTTTGTATACTTTCATCTTAGTTGATTTTTTAAAACGTCATTAGCAAGGACCAACTTTAAATATTTAGTTTTAAAATTTCCTTTGTGACAGTTACGTTTCTTGCTCTGTAACTTATTTTTTACCCCCACATTGTGTTACTTTAATCTTGAGGGTTTTTTGTTTTTGTTTTTTTTTTGAGATAGAGTGTCTCTGTCTCCCAGGCTGGAGTGCAGTGGCGCAATCTCAGCTCACTGCAACCTCTGCCTCCCGGGTTCAAGCAATTCTCCTGCCTCAGTCTCCTGAGTAGCTGGGATTACAGGTGCCCGCACCATGCCTGGCTAATTTTTGAATTTTTAGTAGAGATGAGGTTCACCATATTGGCCAAACTGGTCTCGAACTGCTCGAACTGCTGACCTCAAGTGATCCGCATGCCTCGGCCTCCCAAAGTGTTAGATTACAGGTGTGAGCCACCGTGTCTGGTCTATCTTAAGATGTTTTTTAAAAACTAGCACGTAATATCAAAGTCATAACCTCTTCACTTGTTTTTCTGCTCTTCCTTTTCTGTTGGTGTTTTGACTATCAAATTGATGTTCAAATCTTTAGGTTCCCCCTCTCCCTCTCATTCAGTTTAAAACTTCATTTTTCTTCATTTTAATCTTTAAAGTGCTTGGAGGTAGCAAATTACTTTAAATTGTTTCCAGATACTACATCTTTTTGGGACTAGTTTGGTAGGCTTAAGGTTAAGCATCCTGGCATAGTGTTTTGAAAGTGTTGAAAATGAACTTGGGCATATATTGGAAGAAATATGAATAGCCTGGCATGTTAGAAAACATAGTGTCATTTTAAACATAAGTCAGATTTTGATTCTGTGGGCGAAGTTTTGTGATTTTGTTTTCAGGGACAGCTAATGTCAGAGTAGAAGAGCTAGATGAGGTTCGTGATCAGGAACTCAGTTTCTTTAATATCTTGTGCTCTGGCTGCTGGAGCAGTCAAGAGTCAGTATGACTTAGGCTGAAAAACTGTCCACAGAGCCAGGCATGACAGCAATGTGCTACTTCTTCATTAGGTGACCAGGACTTATCTTCATTATCATACAAGTTACTGTGGATAGAGTAGATTCCTAAATCTGGAACCCAGATGTTGAGACAGTAGGAAGTAATTTGTTCTAATGGAAAGAATTGACTTGAAGAATATGGCATTTGTAAGACCTGGCACATTCTTTTATTTGGCCTCACTGGGAGTTCTGATCTTGACTGGAATTAATTTTTGATAATTCAGAAAATTTAGTTTCAGTCAAAAACTAATCATTGAGTACCTAGTGAATGATAGATACTGTACATTGTGTTAAGTACCAGGACATAAAGAAGTGATAAGATCAGAAAGTGCTTTTAAGTTACATGAGGGAGATTAACGATGTAAATATAAAACTTCAGTGCAGTGTCTTGGTAAAGATGCAGTGCCTTGGTTCATCAGAGGGTGAACATGGGCTGTTACTGACAGGTGCATCTCTCATCTGTGTGCTCTACCAGATCAGTTCGTGTCACTTGGAAAGTGAAGACAGTTGACAAACCTTGTCTCCAAAGACTTGGAATGAAATTGAGCCACTGACACCTCATCACCAGAGTTACCCTTTTCAACTTCCCCTCTAAGGATGTGTTGTGACGTTGCATTCTGGACCATGAATAGAAGATATTAAGCAATAGTGTTCAGTTTTAGTTTCATATTATTGTTTCTTAAGTGAAAATTTAGCTTCAAACTTTATTTAAAAGCTTTTTTTGTTTTCTTAATTTTTAGAGACAGGGTTTCACTCTCTCACCTAGGCTGAAGTGCAGTGGCGTAATCATAGCTCACTGCAACCTTGAACTCCTGGGCTCAAGGGATCCTCCCACTCCAGCCTCCTAAAGAAGCTGGGACCAGAGGCACATGCCACCATGCCCAGCCAATTATTTTTATTTACGTTTTAATAGAGATGAGCTTTTGCTTTGTTGCCCAGGCTAGTTTTGAACTCTTGGCTTCAATCATTCCTCCCACCTCAGCCTTCCAAAGTGTTGGGATTACAGGTGTAAGCCACTGTATCTGGCCTCAAACTTTATTCAAAACAGAAGGGGAAAGTTACTAAATATCATGACAAAGAAAACATATAAAAATTATAAGTCATTTTATGTTCTTATAGTGCTTTAATCCTCTCCATTGTAGGTACTTGTTAGCGTTTAGCTGCCTATGGATGACAAATATAAATAACCCAGGAGCTCACCCATCTTCTTTATTTTAGTGAAAGATGAAAAGTGTACAGTTCCAAACTCACTATCTTGGGAGGTGCAATCCTCCCAAGAGAAATATGAAAGTTTCTCTTACAAGAGAGTTGTTTCAGTTTTCAAACAGGGCATACATTAAGGTTATTAGTTTATACTTTTTATTATCTACATCCACTAGAAATAGAAGGACATACTTTCAGATGTACCTAAGATTTTTAAGTGAGTGAAGTATATACCATTCACTTACTCAAAACCTACCAAAATGTGCCTAAACATTCAGTTTCCAAGCATATGATTGAGAGGGAATAACATCTTGACTTTAAAAATGGAAGAACTAAGGATTTATTCCTGATATTCTTGTAAATATCCTTCTACAGAAACTGAAAAATGTACTGAATGCAGCTTGACCTGATTCTTACTTAAAACCAGGTCTTGACTGGAGCAGGGAAGGGAAGGAGAGCCCCACATACTCTGCTGCACCTGGAGGTCTAGTTCCTTCGTTCCTATCCAACGGGACTGAGCAGGGAAGGAAAAAGATGGTCCTTCCTCCCTCCCTTCTTCCTGGGTTCTGTCTTTTATCAGTTTGAAAGCTGTGTTCTGTACTTTTCTTGGAGTCAGGTCATAATATTTTTTTTAACTAAATAGCAAGAACCTGGGATTTTTATGTTCTACCCAAAGAGAGGTTATTGCTTTCCCTTCCCT